GGTTTAGGGTTTAAAGGGCTTAGGGTTGAGGGTTCAGTTTAGGGGTTTAGGGTTGAGGGTTTAGGGTTGAGGGGAATAACCGGAAGAATCTTAACCGCATGAAGACACCAATGGTAGCGGTGGTTAAGAGCGATCACCCTGAGGCTCCATGTGCTACATACTTTAAGGCCTTAACGTAGTCCCTATATAGGTACTTTGGGGCCAATGTATAGTACGGCACCCTTATAAAAACGACCGTAAAAGGGACCCTAATTTAGAGAACTACCCATATGAGTCCATGAACCGTCTACTCGTTATTATCAGGACTGAGAAGCTCCGCCAGTTCCAGCTTTCAGGGTTCAGAGGGTGTAGGAGTTTCGATTAGGACTTAAACTCCTATAACTCAGAACATGAAGCCCCGTATAGCTTAAGGTAGTCCTTAATTCGGGGGTGATGGGCTCTTTTTGGGACTCGGCCCCAGAACAAAAACGAAAGTTGGGGGAGTGTCCGGTTGCACACTGACTTTTCCGACTGGCCTGCAGCTCGAAAACCTTACCTGATTGAGGTTCCTTACGAAGAGTTTTGGATGTAGGGTTTTCAACATATGATTTAAGGTGCAAAGTGTTCTGTATACTTGCCATTGCAATAATCTAGAAAGGGAAACGTAGGGGCTTTGGGGCTAGAGGAATGAAAAAGGATCTGTCTGTGCACTTGCTTCACCCGCGCATATGCTAAGGCGCCTCATATTCTCTGACGGTCATACCTTCGCGTCTTATTGTTGAGTAAATATATAGATGCATGCATACAGCATGCTTTTCATATTGTTCAGTGAACATGCTTCTATACAACATCTGCGTAAATTGTGTGTATATTAAGTGTGTATATATATAGATAGATAGATAGATAGATAGATAGATAGATAGAAAAATAGATAAACTCTGAACCCTGAACCCTGAACCCTAAACCCTAAACCCTAAACCCTAAACAGATAGATAGATAGATAGATAGATAGATAGATAGATCTACACGCAGCCTACATATGCCCTGATCCGCCTCTCCACATAGGCTGCTCTGGTGCACATAAACCCCCAAAGGTGCCCGCAAGAAAGACACCATTTCAGTTCCCTGTCGACTCAGTATACCGTTTAGGGTTTAGGGGTTTAGGGTTTCGGGGTTTAGGGGTTTAGGGGTTTAGGGTTTTAGGTTTAGGGTTTAGGATTTAGTACCTCTTTTCACTCCCGCGGCTGCTGAAGGTAGGCAACCCAACCCGACACACTGAGCCCCGGAGCCCGAACACGAAAATTGAAAACCCTAAACCCTGAACCCCAAACCCTAGACCCCTAAACCCTAAAAGCGACCGACAGATACGGCAAACTCCAGCCTGAGCCCCGAAACACTAGACCCCAAACCCCTAAACCCTAGAACCTACCGGCACCCCCAAAGTACATTTTAATAGAGCCCTTATGGTCTTTAATAGTGGGTAGTTAGGGTATAGTAGTGGGTAGTTGGGGGGTGCTGGTAAACCCCTGTCCTGGTCTTGCTATCTTGCCCTCCTTAGGAATACCCAAATCCCCCTAAGGGCTTGGGGTCTTGGGTTTTGGGTTCAGGGTTGCGGGTTTAGGCTTTCAGGCTTCGGAAAAGTACTGGGCTTAGAGGGCTCAGAGATTTTAGAGAGCTTTGAGCTTGGGGTCTGGGAGGGTTTGGGGTTTTGGGGTATTGGGGTTTAGGGTTTAGGGTTTGGGGCTCTTGGGGTTTTAGGGTTTAGGGTTTGGGGGCTCTTCGGGTTTAGGGATAGGGTCTAGGATTTGGGTGTCGCAGCACGTTATGGCTTATCCACAAGTCATCATGACAGAAACACCGGCGCCATACTGATACCTAGGCTCACGGGTTTTAGTGCAGTTCCCTAAACCCCTAAACCCTAAACCAGTTCCAGGGCCGCTGTAGGCTCTGCTTAAAGTTTCCTAAACCCTAAATCCCTAAACCCTAAACCCTAAACCCTAAACCCTAAACCCTAAATCCCTAAATCCCTAAATCCCTAAGTCCCTAAACCCGAAATCCTGAAACCCCTCAACGACAGGGAACTTTCAAGATGGGAAGCCACCGGAAGCTCTGACTACTCATGGGTAGTTCTCTAAATTAGGGTCCTTTTTGGGGGTCCTTTTATAAGGGTTTAGGGTTTAGGGTTTAGGGTTTAGGGTTTAGGGTTTCTCCGACTACTCATGGGTAGTTCTCTACATTAGGGTCCCTTTTGGGGGTCCTTTTATAAGGGTTTAGGGTTTAGGGTTTAGGGTTTCTCCGACTACTCATGGGTAGTTCTCTAAATTAGGGTCCCTTTGGGGGGTCCTCTTATAAGGGTGCCGTACTATATTGGAGACCTAAAATGGGACCCTAATTTAGAGAACTACCCGTTCATTGATGGAACCCTAAACCCCTATACCCCTAAACCCTTAAAACCTAAACCCTAAGGTGTTGGCGTTTAGGGTCTAGAACTACCCTCATCGCAGGAACAACGCGGTGCGCGGTTCCCGGAAACTGCCGGAGCCACCGAAGGACCGTCATCGAATGACTCGGTGTAGGGTCACTGGGA